GACAGAAACAGTTATTGAAAAGTTCCCATTCAGTGATAAGGGATGTAGTGGCAAAATACTAAGACAATAAAAACATTACAATTGGAGAACTCATAAAAGCACTGGAAAAAGAAATCTCGTCAAAACTTTTTGCGTGCAGAACTGTCACTGATATCCAAAAGCGACGAGATATCGAAAAAACGCCTTTGCTGGAAATGTTTCCACAGTCATCATTCCAGTAATAAATGTAGCAAACCTAACTGTCCTAATTGCGGCGTCATCCAAGCATATGTCTAGCGAACAGACCGTTTAACGGCACATCCCCACCAGCAAATACGAGGCCGACAAGAAATGAGGTCAACCAGCAGAATTATGGAAACAGACAACAGCGATCTGATAAGAGATACAGTAACTGTTCCAGTAATGACACCAGGAGGACGCAGCAAACCAATACGCAACTCCTGCAAAATGAGCACGAGAACGACCGCTCCACAACATACAACAATTGCAAAAATGAGCAACTGATAATAATGACAGCGGAAGGCAATGTTCGGAACAACAAGACACAATTCTTTGAGAAAGTGCTGTTCTTCTTCGATACAGGAGTTCATAAATCTATCATCGAAGAGAAACCAGCTGAAGATTTTGAACTGTCTCCACAAAAACCTGTGTAATGTCCGCTATTGGCGGGCAATAGAAAGATTTGAAAACGCCATGGTACCACTATAAATAATGTCTGCTTACGGTAGAGAAATCAATTACACCGTGAAAACTAAACAAGTTATAACCGGAGAATTTCCCTCGATAAAAATGTTTCAGAGAGATGCCCAATTTCTCGAAAACCACCAAATTTGCATAGCCGAATTCTATGCTACTAGGGGAAAGGCAGATCCCCAAGATACTAGTGGGTCTTGGCAGATATTATGACCTAGTCTTGGAAGACGGTATGTCTAAAAGCACTCCTCCCGGTCCCCGCATTGCCCAAACCTTATTTCGTCCTGCAATCTACGATCGCGGTAGATTAGAATGCGTTGAAGAACAGCAAGCAGTCTCATGGACTGACAGCGATAGACTATTCTGGCCTTTGAGCCAGAACCCGCTGCCACACCTGCTAGGGAGCGGGGCGTACAACATCGGCAAGCACACGATTCTGGTTGCATTTCTCCCTGCTGCTTCAAGGATATATTCGTTTGGTTCTCGTTTATGGCTTTTTTTGAAGAACTCGATTAAAAAGGTCTGAGATAACAGCTTTCCTCTCTGATTACAACTATCAAAGGCGCCACAGTTCCGCTAAGACACCACAGTGCCTCTGGCGGGTGACATTGGAGGAACTGAAGATGCAGTTCATCAAAACAATGAAGCGACAGTAAAATCTGAGTGCACCAGAGCCCTAGCAACATGGAGAAAAACACGAGGAAGCTATTGCAAATAAAGCCGAAGAAATTGAATGACTACAGTGAAAACGAATTCCAGTCCGAAACCTAGGAGTGAATCTGACAAATACCTGTTCACTTGCGCTTAAATTTCGTGCTTTCGTGACGAACGTAGTTCCCGAGAACAACACTAAATCGTATTACTAAGCCGTCATGTGGAATACTGTGAACGCGTGGAAAGCGGGTCGAGGCGACTGACGATAATGCAGAAGCCTCTGTAGTTGTGCATATTACTCCAATGCCTCGCCTTAGAATTAGGATAATCATGATGACCACCAGTACGGCACTATTCCTGCATTCCAAAGGCAACCCCCACAGTGCATCGGTCCCGCCGCGAAGAGCGTCGCTTTCATAAGTGTTGACTTATAATGTTTTGCAGCGTCATTCGGTCAAATGATGAAGTTGTGGTAGCATAGAATGTGCGACCGGTGCTTAAGAATGCAGAATTGCAGTAGGACTCTTTCCCCATTAGGGGCAAATGCGAGCGTGGATTAAAATAAGGCGGTCAAACAATTAATAAGGGCGTGCTGTGAGCAACGAAAGAAATTGATGATTAGCACATCCAGGATAAAGGAAATAGAGTTGTTATCGTTGCTGGAAAATGAATGAATCTATGATGGCTTCTGACACTTCTTCGCGGTTAAGTTCTTAAGGGCGCTGGTGGTTCAGTGCCTGAGGGCGCTGATGGATGGGTACCTGATGGCGTTGGTTGTTGAGTGCCAGAAGGCGCTGATGGTTGAGTACCTGAGGGTTTTGGTAGTTGGATGCTTCAGTGCGCTGATGGCTGTGATTTATCTTCATGTTTTTGTTTTGCGTTTCGAAGATTTCTGGTGAATACAGTTGATTGAGTGATCGTGTTAGAAGTTCAAAAATCGAACAAATGGGATGAAAGTTACGGATAAAAATGAGGCACCACCGAAAAATAGGATTGAACGCAAGGTTGCACAGTGCTTGCGGGCCGAAGCTGCAGCCTAGCCTAAAAGCCAGCGTACGCAATTACGGACGAACTACAACCACAACATAGGTTGCTGAAGGTTCACTTGCCAGACCACGAAGTCCCTAGTAAATCTCCTATAACTCCATTTATGGTGGTTTCTGGGGTTTGCAGAGGAGCCCGTCAGTGAACTCCTATGCGCTCTAGAAGGGGTCCTTCACGTTCCTTGTCTACGTAGCATGGCCATACGTTTCTACTCTTTTTAGAAGTTTCCTCGTGATTGTTGGTGCCACTCCAGGTTCACGAGTAAGAAACGTTGGTCACAAGGGTGGAACAAGCAATACCCTATTGGAGCCTCCTACGTAGTCTTTTGTGTGATGGCTTGGAACTAGTCCTATTGTGAAATATTAGGAACCACAAGGTGGTTTAGAGAAAAAAAGGGGGGTCGATAGTAAGTGCGGTGCAGGTCAGGTTCGATCACTAAGGTGGAGCGGATTGTAAGCAATCGCTCAACCCCGGTCGCAATGCACCATGTCGCAGATGTCATAGGGAAACACCGATTAGCAATGAATAAGATATGATGTAGAAATGACCATAGAAAACTCCAAGGAACACCACATGAAGTTGTCATTTAATTATGCCTTCTGCGCACCGAATCACTAGGAAGCGCAGCAACTCCTCACTCTCGAGGCATACTAAAGAGACTATCCACTCTAGCAATATATGCGTATAGTATAGTCGTGCCACGCGGTATAATTGTGTGTTGCTTTCCAATAGAGGCAACCGAGCAACAATTTATGTAAGGGAAACAGAACAGCGTTATTTACTG